ATCATACAAACGACAGTCTGCAAACACGAATCACTCCAATAACCGTGATTCGAATGCTGCGTGCCAAGTTTCGCCTCGAACTCGTTGCCATGCGGCATTCGAAACACGGATTTCGCGGTGACTTGCATTCGAATTTGTTTGCAGGCTGCTTTTTGTATAATGTATTCGCGGCGAGAAGTTTGGGTATCACCGCCTGGTGGAATTTTCACACAACCCAGAGGAGGGATAATTTCACTTCCTACGCTAATAAAAGCACGTGCAATGTCAATCTTCTGTGCACTACGAAAATGAAAACAAACGCGTGTGTATAGGACTTGCACTACCCAAAGCGAGGAAAACAGAGGCCCATCTAGCGAGCTTCTCTCTGCACATACGCGGTTGCAAGCATGTCATCTGGCCGCCGCCATGTCTCTGCTCGTTCGGGCAAGTACGTGAATTGCAAGCTTACCAAAGTTACGCCCTTTTGCACGCTGCACGTGCTTTCACGCATAAAGCACCAGTGAAACGCCATGCTTGTAATTGTTTATAAAAGGTGTGAGCCCGGCTTTAGAGAGGGCACTGTTTTTGTTTTTTTTATTTATTTCATTTCGGACTTTTTACATTTAGGTATACGTCAAATTTACTCTCGTGGATGAATTTGAAGGCGACCACAACTTGTTTCGTGGCGTGTAGGTCCATGAGACGTTTACTGGTACAAACATCTTAGTACAACCCCTTTGTGCATGACTACGTTGCTAGGGAAAATCGCGTGACCACCTTCTATCATCGTGACCCCTTTTTAGGCCTAGCAACACATTCGTCCTTACTACGGAACTGCTTTCGGAGGCTTCACTGAATAAAACACTGGTGAACCCTTTCTTATATATGAGGAGCTTTTGTACTAATAGATTTTGCCCTTCTACTAAGCGAGTTTTGCGTACTCACTCCTTGGGAATCTTGCAGTTTGTGACTAAGCTTTGTTGAAAGAATTTAGGAAACATATAGGATCATGTAATACATCTATTAGAACAAACCTTCACTTGTACACAGGTCATATCGGCTAAAGTCCCCATTACACCGTACATTCATTGTCTTCAAAAGACATAATAGCAGGATGGTGCCTCTACACAATCTTGTCAATGTACATTAATGCCTGCATGTCTGAATTTATTTTTCATGTTAAGATTTGTTAATGAGCTCACCCTTCGGTGATACGAGGACTCTAATTGCGGTGAAACGCTCGCTAGGGGCGCTTCTGTTTTCGTAACTTTGGATAGTGAGCGTGCTAACGTCGTGATCATGTTTTGCTTTTCATAGGGCATAGAAGCTTGGCATTGCACGGGTTTGCAGCAGCAGAGGAAGTTGAAGTATCCTCACTCTAGGGTTGAGAAAAAATTTTACCAGGGTGCGATACCAAAACATCTCGCCGCAAATACTTCGTTTCCCGCTTACTATACAACTCTGTCAAAGCTAGTGGCATGAGACCGTGGCTTCATGTATGGCTTCGCTCGCGCAAGAACGTGAGCAAATGATCTGAGCGATCAAAACCCATGCTCGCACTGCAGCTTTGAGATCGTTGTACACCAAACAAAGGTTGCATTTACATGAATGCGACCATAGCGCATCGAATCAAGATTTGACATTTTTGACTATACTTCGTATCAGTTTCGGTCCGAGCGTGGCCGGTGTTATGAGCTGAAGGGCCAATTAAACACCGCGAAAGCGCAGCGTCATGGCGTGCTCTCTGCGCTTGATAAGACTACCCGACGGAGGAGCACGCACAGAGACGGCGAATATCGGCTGGTCCTATCAACTGCAGAGAGCACGCCTTGATGTTGTGCCTCTTTCGCTGTTTGATTGGCCCTTCGGCTCATAACATCGGCCGGGCTCGGACCGAAGCTGAAACGAAGTATAGTATACTTCGTCTCACCCTACGATGGACTAAAGGCAGAAGCTACGAACCGCCAGATCCAATCACGAGCCACTTAGACATTGCGTGGCATTTCGCTTCGATGAACGTATCGGTGGCCGCGCCTCGGATCACTGACGGGAATTGGCGGACAGTGGTTCGGATCGAGCCATGAGTGACTCAACATTTTTACATTGCAAAGAAAGCCACGAAGTACTGGCTCCTTGCAGTGTCGAAGCTATAAAAATGTCGCAGCGTTTTTGGATTCGGAGGATTATTCGTCCAAACCTAATCAATGCTAAGCGTGTCATAGTTTAGCGTGGAACGTGATTGGACCTGGCGGCCCGTGGCTTTGGCCTTTAGTCCATCGTAGGATGAGACGAAGTATAGCAGATGGGTAGAAGAGAAAGAATTGGGAAGACAGGCTGCGTGCGATTAGTCCCCTCTCGATTTGACGCGCTATGATCGCATTCTTGTAAACGTAGCAAGGGAGAATGTCGGGAACGCAGGTACAACCTTTGCAGGTGCTGGCGCCTGCATCAAAGACTGTTTTAAAGCAAAAAAGTCTAAAACGAACGGCATTTTGCGCGTTCCTATTTCAACTCTTTCTTGGTTACTTTCTTCGAAGCTTTTATACTGAGAAGGGCGCGTGCTGCGCTTGTACCTAAGTTCTCGGCATCTTTTTTTTTTGATTCTTGGGTAATTTAGGCGAAAGATCTACCTCACCTCACACAAGCTGTACCCTGGTCAGAAATACATGTACTGCACTTCGTGTTGTCTTGCTCACTCTGTGCTTGTCTTGTGGCGCATTTTGGCAAAATAAGTCATGTAATAACTGGCCCATCTCTCACTATTGATGTACTGCATACCTATGTACAACACCGCGAAGCTTTGTTGTTATTCTGACTGGCTCAAATCTGACGGCGGCCTATTTCGGAGAAGGCACCGTGCAATTGGGTCTTCGGTTGCACGTCAAAAGATCCACATGCGGTCTGAGTTAATCTTTTCTGCCCTCCGCCGGGGCGTCCCAAATGCTCTTCGCTGGTTGAGCGCGTAAAACCTAAAGTTTTGTTTTTTGCCAACTTCAATTTCCATGGCTGTTTCAGGTTCAGCCGGGACATCGACCTGGTTGACAAGGAGGTGCCCTTTTACGCTGCGATGAACATGGCCAACATAGCGTCTATGTCTCTACTCGTCGTTGTACTCTGCATTCCGTCTGCGTATTTTGTCTTCATCGTGGTTGTGACTTCAGTTCTCTTTCTGGGACTGATGGTAAGAATTTCCCGTGTGGTGCTCGGAGTCAAATAGGCCTTGCTCTAAATTACCCAAGCACCATGGAGAATGCTTGGAAAGTAGGTACACGCGTAACACGCAGTTGCGTTCCGTGTAAAGGGTATAAATAAATAATCAAAATACAATGATGAAGAACGCACGTGCAAAGCGCTTCTTTAAATGTTTGCCTTATAACAGTTACTGCTGCAGTCGCTAACACATGCAGCGCGTGTCCCTGCATTCACGGCATTATCATTGGTGCTTAAGTAATTCTGCAAAAGGTTTACTATTTTTGAACGCGTTCCTGAACGTCCGTTGCTTTATGAAGATATAAATATCCACCTGTATCTCCCTCTTTGCTTTCTGTGTCTGAATATAGCGTCACGTGTTTTCTCGTTTCTAGCGTTAAACCCCGAAAAATAACGCAAAGTCAAAAATTACACGCACGTTCATTCGTTCAAACGCAATGAAAGGCGATAACTTTACCGGAACTTCTTACGTGAAAGCAATTAGAAAAGGCAATGGTACGGTGATGAAATGGTTATAATATTCCGTGTACACGTCCTAGAGACCGACGTCATGAACGACGTCTAAGACTACCACCGGGACTCCCTCAAGAGCAACGTGTAGAACGACGTCGAGGACGACGTCATGTATGACGTCTAGGACGATCTCAAGGATGACGTCTAATGGTACGTTTACACTTGCGGATCCGCCAGCGGATCCGCCCACCTTTTGCCGCTGGGGCGAAACGCTGGGCGGAAAACGCGACGGCGAGCCGTTTAGGTCCGGGATCTATTTCTGCCGCCGAACGAGGCGTTTCGCTGACCGGATGGGACATTCTCGCGCAGCGCGACGCTGCCTACGTCACGAGTACGCGTTCTTCCGGGAGCAGCAACGCCCGGGAGAGAGAGAGCCGAGGCGGGAACTCTCGCGTCTTCTCGTCATATTCGACGAGACGTTACGGGAACCGCTGCCGCAGCCGGCGCCGCCGCCGCCACTCGAAGGAAATAGATGTAAACGCAACCCGCTCGTCGCCGCCGCCGCCCGAAGCGGATCCGCTCCCGCGGCAGCGGGTTTCTTCTCAGGTGTAAACGTACCATAAAACGACGTCGAGGACGGCGTCTAAGACGACGTTGAGTACGACCCCTAGGACGACCTCTAAAACGTCTAGACGACGTCGAGAATGACGACCTAGAGGACGACGACATGAACGACCTCTAGAACGACGTCGAAGACGTCAGGTGGCGTCAATTCCTGGCGCTTACAAGCTTAAGCAAACGAAGCTTGGGCAACCGGCGCCTCAACCACGATCGCTTCAGCCGCGGACATTACGTGACATTGCACTTCAGCCAGAGGCGTTGCGTGACCATGATTACGTGACCTTGAGTGCGGTTGGGCCTGGAAAACTACCGCTTTAAAAGGAACCTCCAAGCGTTGTATTCTCTCTCAGTCCCCCCTTCTCTCTCTTCCCTGCTGCATTAGAACCGGTTCTCTGCACTTGACGACCACACTTGCGGTTTCCGACGAGCGGATGGGAGTACGCGAAAAAAACAAAAATCGGCTTGTTATGTGTGTTTATACAGCCTTGATGTTGGTACGCCTCAACGGGGTGATCAGTCTCATAGCTGTAGGTGAGAAACTTATCCTGCGCAGTACAACCGCTAACCTGGGGCTTTTAACGTGCATCGCGCAGTAGTGACCACACGAACGCGTGCCGGTAAGAAAAAAGTGAAAGCCGTTTACAACTCCCTGTAACACCGAATTAGAGCGCCGCCCTTGAGGAGGAGGAGGGAAGGGTACTGGGAGGGGGGGGGGGTGAAGTGACCTGGGGGGGGGGGTCACGTGACGATGCCGATGACGTCATCAGTGATGATGACGATGATGATACGGATGCCGGTGAGGTCATCAGTGACGTCACTGATGACGTCATAAGTGATGATGACGATGCGGATGCCGGTGAGGTCATCAGTGACGTCACTGATGACATCATCAGTGATGATGACGATGACGATGCGGATACTGATGGCGTCATCAGTGATGATGACGATGACGATTCGGATGCTGGTGACGTCATCAGGGATGATGGCGACATCGGGGAGGTCACGTGACCTCGGCGGGGGGTCACGTGACCCTGGGGTGGTCACGTGACCTCTGGGGGTCACGTGACTTTGGGTGTCACGTGACCTTGGAGTGACCTTGGGATGACCTTGGGGGCCGCGTGACCTTGAGGCGACCTTGGTTACGCCGACGGCGACGCCGACGCCGACGCCGCTCAAGCCGGGAATGGGCCCCTAAGAGCTGCGCTCTAAAACTCATCCAGATCGAAACGGGCGGGGGTGGCGGGGATCGAACCCAGGAGGTTCCCAGCGCAAGCTTTCGCTCCACGCTCCTAGCTAAGACGCATTAGCCCACTCGGCGCCTTCCTCCCGGGGCGTCAGAGATTTAATCGAATACATCCTACTCCCCGATAGCGCAATGACCTCGGTGTGGACAGGTTTGGTGAAGTTTGAATGGCTGGATGACCAGCAACCTTGGTCTTTTCCGCATCGAATTGGGAGGGGGGGGGGAAGCGCCACCCTATTTTGATGGAAGTCGCGGTTATTCAGGATTCGCGCCGGTGGGCGAAAGGCTCGCCGCGGGCCGTTTGGTCGATGCAAGTGTTCGCTCAATATGTGTTGTAGCTTGTTCCCTAAACATTTTTAGAGCAAAAATATGTTTTTTTTTTGTTTTTTTTTTTTGCGGCGCGGTGAGACCTCCAATCTCCCGGGGGAGACATTTGCGTAGTAGGAGTGCCTTCAAATGCAAATGAGTGGAGTAGGATGTATTACCCCTAGTAAAGTATTCGTTTAATGAGCGCTCAAAATGGGAAAGTGCACGCGTGCCCGTACATTCCAGGCTTTAACTACATTGGCATGAAATGTTGTCCCTCGGTATAAATAGTAGGGTAGGATGATCTGCGTATGGCATGCTTTTGTACGCTTTTATTTTCAGTCAAATACAGACCCTGTTAGGGGGGCGAAAGAAGACGTGTATCCTTCTGACGAGGTCCCAATTCCTGGTTACTTAAAGGGAATGTAGTGTTACACTCCGTTAGCTTCATTGCCGACCGCAGTCGAAGCTACAGCGACAAAAGCGAATCCTCGCGGCGCTCGGACTCTTCGTGGCTACGTACCTCCGTCAAAGTCAATTACGCAGAAAGAAAAGCGCAGGATCGCGGCACATTCACCGCGTCTGATCGTCTGATTGGCGTAGCCGCTGGTAGCTAACGCACGAAGGTGACGAGCTCCATGGCGATGAACTTATCGCGCTCCTTGAGTGGTTCCATCTGTGAAGGGTCGAGTTTAGAACGAGACGGAGTATAGCAAAATAATCGCTATCGCATCATCATTACATCAAACAAAAAAATATTAGTCACACGATTGCTTTTTTCTTTCTTGTTTCAGATGGTTTCGTTGCCATCTTTTCGTCAAGTGCGCAGGTTGCAGTCTGTGAGCCGATCACCTGTCCTGTCTCACTTCGGCGAGACCATTTCAGGGGCCCTTTCGATTCGAGCCTTTGGTGCCACGGAACATTTCGTTAAAACTCTGGAGTATCTCCAAGACAACAGCGTCAACTGTCACATCCATGCCGCGTCTCTTGACGGGTACGACACTTTTGCTGTCATTAAGATTAGTGTTTTTTCTTTAAGTTGTATACCCACCGTGCGTTTGTTTATCCCCAAACGCGCCAACCTTCTTTTGTTTCCTTCCGAGCTCAACTAGTTACTGCGCGTGCTTGGCTACCTCGTCATCTCGCGTTCCCTAAGCGATCTCTATGTTGCCCTACGATTGGCGTGATCCTCTTCGCGTTCCGATGCGCCGAAGAGGCATTTAGCATCACTTTCTTGTCGTATATGGCTTTATTCGCACGACAGCTATAACACTTTTGGAGTCGAGTATTGCCGCATTGTTTGAACGCCGAGATACAGAGAGTGTATTGCCTATAGGAGCACACGCGGGCACTGTGCGTTTGCGTTAGCGTCGCGTAAATCACGTTGCACTATCGTATCGCCGCCATTCGATATCCAGACGAAAGGTTTCGTCTCCCGCGCACGCTCAGTGTTCGACACGGAACGTTAACGCAAACAGACTGTTCGTGTGTGCTCGAATAGATAATACTAAAACTCACTAATTACTGCGTAAAACAAACGCTACATATAGTAATTGACAATCTAAGAAACGCAGGACGTTTCTCAGATTGTCAATTGATTAGCACCATTTCCCAGAGATTATCAGCCTCCCCGGAGATGAGCACCATTCCCCAGAGATGGTGTTTATCACTTCCCTTCCTCGGGGGAAGGGAATTGATTAGCACCCTTCCATTCCCCCAAGCGTCTTATTATCGCTGGGAAGCCAAAGAGATTGCTGCATTTGAAATTAAAAATGCCAAAGAACAAATCACGATGTAAGCGTGACCGTAAGCCACGCACCCTTTTGTTTTCCCCAAGCTTCTGGGGACTGTAGACTACACGCTGATTAGTAGGCGACCACGGCTGCTCTGCAACTTGGGATTACTAGAACATCCCCCCCAATGTGCGCTATATTCCTACTTAACTATCCTAACGCTTACGTATCCAAAGTTTAGTGCAGCATTGTGACAGGAACGGGTACGAGTGTGATCGCGGTTTTATACTTCGTCTCAAAGGGTGTCCAAACAGGACACTACAAAACGCACGACTCCGACAAATCGTGAAAATTGAAGCGGGCGCGCCCTTCACCCTACGATGAACCAAAGGCAAAAGCTACGGACCGCCAGATCCAATCAAGAGCGACTTAGAAATTGTGCGGTATTTCGCTTCGATGCACGAATCAGTGCCCGCGTCTCGTATCAGTGATGAGGGGACGGGTGGATAGTGGTTCGAATCGAAGAGCACTGAGTGACTCAACAATTTTACATCGCAAAGAAAGCCACGACATATAGCTCTTTGGAGCGTCGAAGCTATAGAAATGATGTGGCGCTTTTGGATATGAACATTATTCCTCCACCCCTAATCAATATTAAGCGTGTCATGGTATAGCGTGGAACGTGATTGGACCTGGCGGCCTGTGGCTTTGGTCTTTACTTCATCGTAGGATGATACAAAGTATGGTACGAACTGACCTTGCGCGATTCTCTTTCGTCCTAATGTATTCACGTCACAGAGCTATGCTGGCACGCTTTTGTTTTTTGATAAATCTGCATGAAACAATGTACAACGGAGTTCATGTGAGTCGGTACCAAAAAGGAGTGCAGTCCTCAACATGGTATTATCATAGGGAACGTCCGTAGCTTTTTGTCGGCAGAACCATCATGAAATACCCTGTTTAACTAAGCCAGTTTATTACGAATGCACGTTCGCTTTATGCAGTTAATTATAATCTAGACCTATTCGAAACGCAAACACTAGCACCCGTATCCACAGTTAGTACATCGTAACTGCCTGTGATCTCACTGATTCAAGTAATCAGTTGCCGAACTCTAATATTTTGGCAATCGTGTGACTAAAAACAACAACGTGAACTGTGACTTGGTCGGAAATTAAGCAGCCCCGAGTGACACTTGGTTGGTGAGTAAGTTGCGCCTTTTCCTCAAAAAAACATAATTTGTTGATCGCAAAGCAGCCCCGTTTTCTGAACTTTGAATTTGTTTTTTTGTCACATAATTATTGCAATTATCTGACGCCGTATTATTCATTTTCTCGCTGTCTATCTCTTTACGGCGGCAGGTGCCGCATGGTTCTCGTGCAACTCCTGACCTCGCTGCTGTCTTTTGGGGCAGCGCTGGTGACCGTCCTCGTCAGGCATTCTTTGGACCCCGGAATGGTCGGAATGGTTCTCTCTTACACGCTCCAGGTTTGTCTGCACAACACTCACCTTTGAATCACGGCTCTTTAAGGTATCTGTTCTTCTTTTATATTAATTTCTTTCGCATTTTGAATTTGTTTGATCCTTCGTGCTTCATGAATTTAATTAATTGAATGTTGGGCACATTTATTCACTTAAACTAGAAAGTATAGTGTTTCTTTGGTTTGTGATTTTGTTAGCATTACTACTTCCTAAGCAGCAATGTTGTTCTAGACATACGTGACTAAAAATTTCTGGTTCTAGCATCGCTGAAACCCGAGCAATAAAATACGGTGAGTCCGCGCGGTAGCATCTAAGAATAACTGGCTGTTAGGTATTGCATTGGCTTTTTATTACAAGAGAAAAAGTGGCTGAAAAGTCCCTTTTTGCGCGAGTTGCTTTCACAGTTTGGTCGGACACTAGAAAGTCACATCCCACCTGCTCGATATAGTTGCCTATAGCGTTCGCCTGCTAGGTTTAATCACACGAAACACATGAAAACTCCTCTCTTCCAGTATAACGCGCTGTTTATTGTGCCTGTCACACTGGCGCCATCTATTATGTAGCCAACCAAGCATTCCCGATCTGCGTAAAGATAGACTCGAAGACATACAGTACTCGCGAAATCAAATCTACACACCACTTCGTTTCATCAAAGGTTCGTTAAATTAACGTCAGAATTATTTTCAGCACACAATGAAAGATTATTGCTTAAAATATACGCATATAGAGAGTGTTCCAGAGCTGTCCCATAAACGGCGCCAGTGTGTTGTCTAATAATAAACAGTCCCAAGTAGTTACAACGCCGCCAATCGTGCTCAGACGCGAATTTATAAACTAGCCAGTTACAACAAAACATACTCCGGCGTCGTACTGTACTTTGTTTTTTTAACCATGCGCCGGAACACACGTCCACGTGGCCATGCCTGCACGCTTTCTTTCGCTTCTCAGATGGCGGACGAAGTGTCGTTGGTGGGCTTGATGTCCGTCATGCTGACTGCCAGTCTGGTTGCTGTGGAGAGGGTCATGGAATACTTCAACTTACCGCAGGAGGTTGGTCTTGATTTCCTTTTTCGCTCATGCACTAGATAATTGTAAAACTAAAACGTCATGGCATACGTACGGTGCAAGCAGATATTTGGGAGCAAGCTAGCCTTCCTCTGGTCTTTAAGAGGGTGTATACTTAAACTAGTTTTTAATTTATTGGCCTAGGATAAAAGCGATAAAAACAAATGAGGAGTAGAAGATCGGCGAACACAACGGAACGCACTAAAATCCTTATTATCTCCTCACTTGCGTTGTTATCACCCACAATGACCAATTATCTACGCCGCTCTTTGTTGCTTTCTAAGTCTTGTATATCTTCAGCGCTCTGCGGTGTTTGTCATTATCCTGCTTGTCCGTCGTTTTGATCGTTTTTACACACAAAATGCTTTAGGTCGCCCTCGGCTTTGTAAGGGGATTGATTACTCGTCGGTGATCTAACTGTTTGTTCACGTACGCAGGCGCCTTGGAGGAATGCGAAGGTTCAGCCTGCCGCCGATTGGCCCACTCTAGGCGAGGTGACCTTCTCGGACTACAGCGCCGCCTACCGGAACGGTGATAAGCCTGTTCTGCAGAACATCAACTTTAAGTCTCCTGGGGGTCAAAAGGTGAGTCGGCGTCTGGCGAAACTGCTCTTTTCTCCAGTGCTAGCTTTATAGTTTCTACAAAAAAGTCAATTATTCTTTGCCGGACGTACGGAAGAAAATTTATGTTTGATAATGTTATACTTTATATAGGGACATTTGCTGCAAATAGCAACCTGTGTTTAAATTTGGTAAGTTTATTTGGTTATGGCAATTCGAATCACCAGACGCTATATTTGGAACTGGGAAATGGAAATAGCAGACGCAATATCTCCAGACCCTCCTGTCATTTCAAATAACAAATTCCATAACTAAAAGTAGTTGCGACATCACAAAAGAGCGAGGGTTTTAGAAAAGGCTAGACAAATAAATTTAGCCGTCGCTTATTTTAACTTTAATTTCTTCATCCGTTATTGTGCCCTTGAAAATAAAACAATCAGCACTGTCCTCAACAGACAGTATCCGCTGCCTCATGCTCTCAGTTACATGCATTTGTTGTTCGTAACTTTAATGCGGATGAATAAAATACCATTTAGGCGTAAAATTTATTGGGGGAGTTTGAGTGATTGATTAAATCCTTGATTTCTTGTTTTACACATGTCAGGTTGGTGTTGTGGGGAGGACCGGTGCTGGGAAGTCCACTTGCGCGCTGGCCCTGTTCAGAGTCGTCGAACCCAAGAGCGGGTCCATTGTTGTGGACGACGTGGATGTCACCGAGATCGGCTTGCACGACCTTCGCTTGAAAATGACCATCATTCCTCAGGTTCTGTATTGTACCTATAAGGCTTAGGAGCGACGACACGTCAGCCGTGTTGGTGCTTATATCAGTAACCTTATTTGGAATTTCAAGGAAAAGATGGCCGTCCGCCAGAAACGTGAAAACAGTCCTCGGCGGTGCGAAAGGATAGCTTCTTATCACCGTACCGGAAGCTCGCCAAAGGCGCCTGCTCTGCTCTAGGCACAAAAATAGCGGCGCTCTCCTTGAAATCGGGGAATGAAGTGACGATACTCTAAGGTCAGCTAATTTTGTGACTCTGGTAGTGCCTTGATAATGCAGTTTTTTTTTCTGTTTGTTTTGGACCGATTGAAATAACATATGTTGTAAGCTGGCAGGTGGATAACAGGAGGTACAATATTTTTACTTGTCACTGTCTGATCACTGTTTGGGAGGTTATAAGTTTCTATAGAATACTTGACATTTGGTCTAACCGACGAATGCTTTATTAGATTTATCGGGAGTTTTATTTTTTAATGCATCTGCCTTTGTTGAGAACATAATCAGTAAAGCCTGATATATTGTCATCCTTTTCACTCAGATATTACTTAACAGTGCCGTCGAGGTTATTCGATCCCTGCGCTTTATTTAACTGACAGGCTGTTGACGATGTTGCCGTTTTTTTTTTTTTTTTTTTTTTTGTTTCACTGAAAAATTAAACGTGCAATTTTTACCAAACTTCAATGCTGGGGATTCGTACTAGGTGCCAAAGTTGACAGCTTGTCGTTATATGGTACAAAAGTTATAAGCCGTTTTTAGGAAGTTTGAATAATAAAAGGTATTCCGTTCTCGGTATTCGACGCTTCCTCTGCGTGCGTTTGTGGGTCGGCCGCCGCACTCACATAAAAAGTTTCCGCTTATGAAAGACGTTTTCATTACAGTAACCAATGCACGTTACTGAAGAAAGCAATCTTGATAAGGCGGAGATCAGAATTCAATTCAATTCAATTCAATTCATTCATTCATTTTTTCCTTTATATTTTATTTTGTCTTTCTTTCTTTTAGAACTGTCGGGGCCTAAAGTCGTTAGAGAGGGGAGGGACAAAAATAAAACAAACAAGATACGGGATAAATACACCGTCATTACATATTATGCCCTGAAAACATGAACGTTCAATGTTGGCATTAATACTTATGTTTTTGTAAGCTATTATTGATTAATCTACTGGCGATATTGAGACCTGCATGTTCACCGAAAAAGCAGGATCCCGTGCTGTTTGCTGGAACGTTACGCTGGAACCTGGATCCTTTCAACGAACATCCAGACGAGGCTCTTTGGAAAGCCCTGGAACAGGCGCATCTCAAGGACTTCGTATCCAGTCAAGAATCGGGTCTTGACTGCGACATTGCAGAGGGAGGCGACAACTTAAGGTGAAGCCGCTCACCCTTTTGACGACCACGTGCCCTAAAAGAAATTCTATAGCGCACAGGATTAAATAATCGATCTTGAGAAACTGCTTAGCATGCAGAGCATGCTAAAGCATCCGAAAACTCACGTGTCCGAAAAGTGCGTAATTATACGTGACTTTTAAGAGTCGCATAATTGAGAATTGACAAGACTGTTGGAGGTATTATTTAAATTATATTTTACATAAGACTACGTTTTGACGACGTGTCCAAATGATTAGGAGAGAGAGGGTCGTGCCTCCCCAAGTGAAAAAATAAAAGTATCTGAAGGTTTCCAATAAAAATATAAGAACTTGCGCCTAAGTTATATAGTGATTGTTAGTTCCGGTGTGTTTATTAACAAAATCCTAATGATCAAACTCAAACTTAAAAAAGTATATATATATATTTCCAATAACGTAGATAGTTGACCAGAAAAAACGGTCGTGTGTGCCCCTTTATGAGGATGTGTAGATGGTAATAATTATTTACCTGTTTTCTTCGTATACTTTGCGTTTATTTTTATGTTCTGAATTATAAACATAGAAACAGATAGTTTCGGTTTTTAATCTCTATGAGTGAGAATGCACTTTTTTCAAAAATGTTCGCCCTCCAGTGGGTGTTACATCACTTATCCAAGGCCACAATATTTTGAGCGTGCACAGCGAACACGCATTGGACACGAGTGCCGCGTCACCCCGCGGTATGAACTCGGATTACATAACACGCGTGGAGCAGGAAGCTACGCCCCAAATACGGTGGCCGCTAGTGTCGCTCGATGGGCTTTTGAAACGGGCCTATCGTTGATGTCAGCCAGACGGCCTAGGATTAATTTGATCTCTGTTTTACCTCTACCGTAAATCGCAGTGCTGGACAAAGACAACTCGTGTGCCTGGCACGAGCTCTCCTGAGGCAGAGCAAAGTCCTAGTCCTGGACGAAGCGACGTCATCGGTGGACCTTGAAACCGAGCGTCTCGTGAAAGAGACTACGCGCACGGAGTTCCAATCCACGACCGTCATTACAATCGCGCACAAGCTCCACACCGTCATGGATTGTGATCAGTAAGCTCTTGGCTCATCGGTCATGAACATTTGAGCAGCGGTCACACTGCAAATACATCATACAAAGGACGGTCGGCAGATACTGTCCGAAGCGCGCTTTTTTGTTTTCTTATATGAGCGTCTTGTAACACTGGTCATACAAACACTATCTTCATTTAAACATGATTCAAGCATACATATGTACAAAGCCTTTGAACATCCCAGAGGCTAGGTGGAGTAAGATACCACCCATTGCAAAGGGTATAGCCATTAACATCCATCCATCCATTCTTGTTCGCGAATAATTCTGCCATCATGTTTTCAGCGAACACCGTGTCTGTTGTATTATGTACGAGCAGTGTCACTCTGGCTTCGAGCCTTTTGTACACCTAAACCTAAACTAATTGAATTCCGCAGACAAAGGTAACTTAAACGCTCTACATTTTGGGTAACTGAGCCGTCTGTTACATTACTTTGGAAAGTTCATAATTCAAGTTTAATATGCCATAATTTCAAGAGCTGAGTGGTGTAGCCAGCACATTCTTTCCGGGGGAAGCTTAACTCTACAAGGTCTCCTGCACTCCCCTGACATCGCCACTTGTACAGCTGAACTGTAGTGTAATCACATCGTTAATAAAGTTGCGAGCTAATTTGTCTAACAAAACTGGGGTTGGTTACGCTATTCACACATTTCAAATAGTTACGCTTTGTCTTAATTAGGAGCCTCAAGTAAAGTAACATGTGACCAAGTGCGATGGATCCTGTTAGTCTTATTGTAATGCTAGGTGAACACGAATCTATTGAATACGGGATCAAGTATTTTGGCGAGTCCTACTTCAGAAAAAGAGTTATTGTTTTCTTTACTTTGCAGGATTTTGGTGCTGTCTGCAGGAGAAATCGTCGAGCAAGGTTCTCCCTCAGATCTTCTAAAAATCAAGAACGGGCTGTTCTTCAAAATGGCGCGGGATGCGGGTCTCACGTGACACTAGCAGCGTGGGTTCTCCGCCTCAAGATGTCCCCTCACAAAACACTGTTTGCCGCGTAGCTGGTGTAGGTGCTGCAACAGGGCCGACGCAGGGTTGGCTTCAAACAACATGACTCGCCATCTATCCAGCCATAGCCAGAGACAGCTCAAGAAACGCAGGGCGTGGCCTATTCTGTTCACACGTTTTGCCTCATAATTTGTTTTTTGGCGTGCAGAGGTTGTATTGGCTGCGGAGTCAAAATAAAGGACTCGGCATTCACCACACCCTTTTTTTTAAATTATTGTAATAATTTTGTTTCTTTCTTTCTTTGGACACAATGTCTCCAGAGAACGGGCGAAGGGCAGATACATTTTGCCTGCCGAGGCCAAGTCCCCCTAATACATTGCGTCAATTAGCAGTGGGAAACAAAAACAAGTACATATAAAATAACATCGGCAGGAACCAACAGCACAATATAATCATAACGTTCACGAAGAAAAAAAAATACACGTTAAATTTATGCAGTGGCAAGCACAAAAAATATCACTCACAATGGTAAACGCAATGCTATATGGAAATAAATTGGCAATTAATTATGTCGGAGATGTCAGAATATATCTTTTATATTGTTTCTGAAGCTATATTGAGAAACAATTTTATAGAAACACTATATTTCCATAATATCTGGATGATTATTTAAGAAATTAGGTATTATATATGCTAATTTCTGATTCCCGTAGGTTGTCCTTAACCTTGGTATTTTTTAGGATTCAAGTGTCAAATTATTACTACAAACAATTTATTTTGTTTGTCGACAAAGAGCTGCTCATCGGCGGCCGCGAGACTTCCGTTGAATGGGATCGACCGCCTTAAACCTCGGCATTGTGTTTGCGTTGTTTTGTGCTGCCCGAATCGGATTACGCATCTACCACGACAGAGAGGTGCTCATCGGCGACCGCGAAACTTCCGCTGAATGTGAGCCACCGCCTTCATCTTCGACATTGTGTTTGTGGATAGTTCTGTGCTGCGCGAATCGGATTATGCATCTATCACGGATTACATGAGATCGCTGTTTCATTTGTAAGTACTCTGCAAGCATGCTTCTGATAGTAGTCCAAGGGGGCTATGTTCGACAAATGTTTCGTTTCTCCTAAAAAGAAACGGAAGTGACGGAAGCGACGATATCGCGTTTGATTGGTTAGAAGGTCAAATGGCGAAAATAGGTAACTTTCGTCATTTGAACCTCTAACGAATCAAACGCGATATTGTCACTTCCGTTTATTTTTAGGAGAAACGAAACATTTGTCGAATATAGCCCCTGTTTCCGTTTCAATAGACCATTTTACTGTTTACAAACATGAACTGCCACTTACGTCCCAAGAAACTCCCGGTCGTACCGTCTTTGCAAGCCTGCCAGTTTTGTCCAGGTGACCAGTGCAGGAAAGCATAAACGTCACAAGAAAAGTACAGTTGGAGATTCATTTAGGGCCTTCGTTTGTACAATTTGAATGGGTCATGAAACAATATCCGGGTGAAATATTTATTATCTTACACGCACGGACCGCCATTGGTTTAGAAGCGTCTTGGTCGTGGTGAAATTGCGAGGATAAAAGAGAACTATTTCTTTCAGTCTTGCCTTCGCCAAGTTTGATGACGTCCGTGTGAACGTAGCTTTGCCCTTTGGCACGCTTGTAATTGCACGAACTTGCTCGCATAAGCAGAGACATGGCTGCGGCCAGATGACCTGTATGCAATCGTCAATAAAGAATTTTGTAGAACCTGTTAGAACCTTGATCAAAACATAAAAAGTGAACCATGCATTTGCAGTAATTTTTTTGTGCACTTTTTTGGGTTATTACGCCCTAATTTGTGGGTGTTGGTAATCGAGCCTTTTTTCATTCCTCTTTCTGGCGGTGATACACCCGATTTAGAGGGCGTACTGCGCAGTCATAACACCCTAACAGAAAGGTGTACAGTGGAATGACACCCTAACTTAAGGGTGTTCGGAATAACGCTGTCCTTCAAGGGTGTTAGGAGAAAACACCCTATTTTAGGGGTGTTAGGAATAGCGCCATTTTTAGGGCGTTTTGCTACACCCAAATGGGTGTTAGTTACAGGACAAGTCACTTACACGCAGAAGGGTGTTGCGATGTTTAGTGCGACGTGTACAATCTGTTAAGTCCTCGATCAGAAAGCTAGGGTTGAAGAAACCAGTGCTTGATTGTCCACCGCGGTGGATGTCCACGCTGCATATACTCACCAGGCTACCTGAACTAAGAGGCTTCACTAGATGGTTCCTCTCAAAAGAAGAGAGCTCCAGGTGGACCAAGGATGTATGAGCGGAAGTCGAAATGCTCGCAGTATCGCTTCTCCCGGCAGAAGTGGTGACAAAGACATTAAAGAAGGAACAGCTCACTGTTGTAGATTTCTACGGAGCATGGCTGGGATGTTTCATGGACACTTCCAAAATATCATCGCCGTTAGCAAAGGCATTGGTTCAGTCAATGAAAAAGAGGGAGCGACAACTTCTTGACACGGATGTCTTCTGTGCAACAGTGTACATGAATCCCCGCTACCGCCTTCTTCTCACCCCTGAGCAGAAGTACCGGGCCACGTTGCATTTGACAAAGACTAAGAGCCAGATAACAGCTCTGCAATGCGAGCAAGATTCTGCCCTTTCTTTTGAAACTTCGGCGGCTTCAGAAGATCCGGAAGACGACCTGGAAGCGCTCCTCAAAGAGAAGTGGAGGCTGGTGTGTACGCTCGAGATTCCAGTAGCCCGCTCGATATAGCATGCCTCCTGGAAATGCTAGACAAGGAGCCGAGGCTTTCACAAGACGCTAACTTGTTGCAGTTTTGCGAGAAAAAGGAACGCCATCCAGAACTCTATGCACTGGTGCAAGTAGCCCTGGAAGTGATTGCGACCCAGGTCAGCATGGAGCGAGCCTGTTCTGTACTGAAGTTTTTCTTATCGTCTCAGAGGTTCCGTCTTTCCCCGCATATGCTTCATGATGCCCAGCTTTTTCGGTCAGCTGCCTGACATTGAAGTGAGCTTTCACCCACGTCCCGAGGTGCCCCAGCACTAGCTCGTTCGTTGCACAGAGTAATGTGAGCGTTTGCTTTTTTATATGTAACACTTTTATAAAATATGCATAGTTTATCTTTTGCTGTCGTCAAGTGTTTTTGTAGCATATGAGTACGAACCGGTTCGAACCTTTATTTTTTCACTCCGGTGTTGAACCGAAGCTGAACCGTTTTCCATGAACCGGAACAAAAAACATTTCGGTCCGACACCCTGGCTGTGGAAGCTTACACACTGCGGGTTGTCGACAGCGTGTGCACAGGCCTCTGAAAGTTTCGTCAGACAGTTGGGGTAGGTTGCTTAAACTGTTCGTCCACATTACATGGTCAGAAGGCGGAAAACACAGCTGCCGCGCCATCGCACAATGCCCTCCACTGTGCTTCAGTACCGACAACGCTTGCTAACATTAAAATAGTGACGCTCTCAGTGTTGTCAGACTACCAAGCAATGACGCATAAGGCTAATTGAGATGAGGCGATCTTCTCTGTAACATCAAGCAAGATCGGCCACAGTGTGTGCCCAAACAATGGCAGACTTCGATAATTGGTGCTGCAGCTACCATACTCCGTTCACCTCTAAGCTAAGACTGTGGTGGAAGCCACGTTCTCGTTGCACCAGTCTTTGGCCTCTCTTTTTGCCACTCATCACGCTCCCAGCCATACCCACGTGCAAAGCTTTGGATCAGGTGATGAGAGCAGTGATGTGATTGGTCATAGCCATTTTGGAGCAGCTGTTGGAGCAGCCAAAAGTTCATTTTGAAGAAGCAAAAAGAGCTTTTGGAGCATAACTGCACACTTCATTTTCATTTATATCACTGCAAATGTGAGGAGAGACGGCAAATATTAGGAGAACAAACACTAGCTGCTTAGTTGCTTGTGGAAGCGCCAGACACGGTACACTCTAAAAAAAGGGTGTTATGGGGTACACCCAGAGGAGGTGTAGGTGCTTGTCACATATACTACATATCCTTTGAGGGAATAAATGTGCACCCCAAATATGGGAGTATGTGTACGCCCGTTGGTGTGGTGCACATGAACACCATTTTCTACAGAAATCTCACTCGAAGGGAACACAGATGCACCCCATTCAATGGTGTACGGTTACACCTCTTTCTACACCCAATGAAATGAAAAAACACAGATGCAGCCCACTCGATGGTGTACCATTGCACCGCTTCATACACTCGCCTCACTCAAAGGGAACACAGATACACCCCGCTCAAAAGTGTACCATTACTCCCCTTTCTACGCCTACTGCTCTCGAAGGGAACACAGGAGCACCCCGTTCAATAGTGTACTGTTACACCTCTTTCTACAGTCACTACATTCGAAGAGAACGCAGATGCACCCGATTCAAAGGTGCATGGTCACACCACTTCCTGCACCCGTTTCATAACTTCATAAATCTATTTAAGACATCAAGGAAAACAGTAAAAAATCTATGCGCCCCGGTGATTGCAAAAAGGCAGGTAAACGGACACACGGGTTTGCTTTCAAATCTCATAAAAGTTTATTAGACAGCCTATTCCGTAAACAAGTACAAACTTGCACGCAATTCGTGATATCTGAAGACGTACAAAGAAGCCGTTACACAACTGAAAAGATTACTAAGCACTCAAGAACCGGGGGTGAGTCTTAGGTAGTGTCCATTCTGCCAGCAGCCGGTAAAATTATTTCCACAAAATTCCACCGGCAGTCGCCATAATTCATCGAACGACATTTCATCGACAGCTCAGATTAGCTTTTCTATATTAGCTTCTCTCCTTTCTTTTTTTGTAATGAGCCGCCCCAGAATGTATCCGCGAAGTGACGTGTATGGGTGGGACAGGTGGGTTAACATTTTTATAATGAGCCGCCGCAGACTGTCGCCACGAAGCGGCACGAACGGATGGGCTGGGTCGGTGAGCACGCGCCTCAGAGATACACGCGCGACAAAATGTCCCTACAGCGTGCATTTTGCGTAACGACTGACGATGAAACGTTAGTGTCGAGGAAAGGTGTCTACAAAACGTGTATCAACAAAAACGTGTTTTCACAAAACGCCAGGAAAATAAGAAAGCCAGTATTCCACCTGCAGTTTTCACCTGATTGTAGACAGCTAATGGCAGGCGACTGCCGATAGAATTTCGGGGAAATTATTCTCCCGGCTGCTAGAAAATAGACACTGCCTAATTCTAGAGGTAATTCGGAACGGAAAGATCAGTTGTTGCAAAGGAGTAGGTTGCA